TCTTCAGCTCCCCGTTCTCCACAGGGCCCTTCTTGTCCTCCCTGGAGGGTGGAAATGTGGGACCCCTATAGAGGAGATGCCGGAGGCTCCCCGGGGCCGGAGCCGCCAGTTCCCAGCACGGAGCTCGCGGGGGACGCGGGTACCTGGTGGCCTCGTAGAACTCGATGGACAGGCTGACGGTGTCGTTGTCTTTTTTTTCTGCTGCTGCTGCTGCTGCTGCTGCTCGGCCACGGCGCCGCGCTCCTCGCTGGAGCCGTTGGGCACTGCGAGGACAAGAGGGGACAAGGCGGTAGGAGACAAGACAGGATGGGATGAGATGGGACAGGATGGGATGAGACAAAGTGGGATGGGATGGACGGGATGGGACAGGACGGGATGGCATGGGATGGACAGGACGGGACAGAATGGGAAGGGATGTCATCCACAGAGCAAGACAGAATGGGACGGGATGGGATGGATGGGATGGGACAGGACAGGACGGAATGGGACAGACCAGGTTAGGACAGGATGGGACGAGACAGAACAAGACAGGACGGGACAGGATGGAATGAGACAGGACAGGATGGGACGAACACGCAGGCACTCACCCTCCGCCACGGGGTAGGCAGTGTAGAAGTTTCGGCGCCGCTTCATCTCATCTGGAGGAGGAGGATGGGGAGCGTTTGGGGGGAATCATGTCCCTGCCCCGGGCGGCAGCTCCCGCGGGCTCCCGGGGCAGCGCTCGGCTGCTCCTACCTTTGAAAAGCCCCGGCACCAGTTTGTACACGATATCCTGCAAGGTCTTGTCTGATCTAGGGAGAGAAACACACACACAAAAAAGAGAAAAAATAAGAAAGGGGAGAGAAGAGGGATAGGGTCTATGGGGGAATGGGGAGCAATATACTGCAAAAGAATATATTGCAAAAATGTACCTAGAGCTTCTAAAAGCCTAAGCTCCGCACACGCATCTGCATGCTTGGGTTTGCATCTTGTTTTTAAGGTTAGATGCAGTTTGCTTTTTGAAAAGAAAATGCAAACAAAGCAAGAGCAGTAAAAGCCAATTGCAGTTGCAATTATCCCCCTTTTAACAGCAAGGCCTCTGCTTTCAAGAGAAACCAGCGCTGGGGCCAGTCTTGCTCGTGTTATTTTTAGCCCAAGCGGCGCTTTCGTCCCCGCGTCCCTGCTGGGTTTGGCCCAGCTCGCACGGCCGTTTGGGTTGCAACACGCCGGCGACGCTGGTGACACACAGCAATTCCCAGTGAGCGAATTGAGCCGGCGCCACGAGCCAGGAATGGGGGTTTTTAGGGTCTCCGTCAGGAGCATTCGCTCCATTCCGGACTTGGGGGAAGGAAGGCAAGGGAAAGCCTCGAGGACGTCCGCAGTGCTGGGCTGTTTTGGCTGCGTGGGAGCTGGAGTGTAAATATTTCATAGTGAAGCATTAAAAAAACCCAACCCACGCAGGGAGAAAGTGTTACTACAGAAACGGATCTGCATGGAAGAGGGTAAAAAATAATAAAATAAGAGCCCGGTGGCCGCAGACGGATGGACAGTGGCACCTTGGGGTTCCTATGCGAACACCTGCAGCACTACAGGCCTATGACACGGAATGTGCCCTGGAGCGGTCCCAGGCTTTCCGAGCGGGATGCTCTGAGCACGGTCTGGCTGCGGGTGCCTGCTGAAGCACTGCATCCCTGTGCAAAGCATCCTTGTCCAATGCATCCCTACATGATGCATCCTGTGCGTGTGTCCCTATGTGATGCATCGTGGAATGCTGCATCCCCACACAATCCATCCCAGCACAATGCATCCCGACATGCCACATCCCGGTGTGCCGCATCCCCCCGGGAAGCCTCACCTGATGCTGAGCAGGGGCCGGGTTTTGTGCACTTGGACGTCACACATGGGGCAGTACTTGTTGGTCTCCAGGTAGCGAACGATGCAGGTTTTGCAGACTGGGGGGGAGAGAGGCGCCGTGAGCGAAGCCCGGGACGGGCAGCGGCGTCCCCGGCCCCGGGGCACTCACAGGAGTGCAGACACTCCACGATGGTGGTGGCGTCAATGAAGTAGCCGCCGCACAGGGCACACATCAGGTGGGGGTTGAGCTCCGTGATCTTTATCCGGGTGGTTCTGTGCATCTTGGAAGCGGAGCCGTGATGGAGCCTCTGTGCAAGGAAACAACCCCCCCGGACAGGGGCCACACTGAGCGGGATGCACGGAGCCCCAGGAATGGCCCCCGCAGTGCCAACACTGCCACGCGCTTCCCCACGGCTGCACCAGTGCAGGGATGCAGCAGGGCTGGGCAGCGGGCGCACAAGCACGCGGACACCCATGGACGTGTGCACCAACACATACATGCATGCATACGTGCAAGATC